GGCCCATTGAATCTCAGTAAACTCCTACTGGCTTTAGTGTCGTTGACCGTCAAGTACCTTTAGGTAGCGTATACTGGAAGCCGTTGCACCATCGGCCTCATTTTTTGCGTGCCGGATACGGGACCGATTGTTTTGATCCTGTTGCCCGGTAATGTTGTCAGTGAAGTGCAGCATAAACCAGCTTGAGCGCCGAGTTACGTTTTCGTCACCCGGAATTCCTGGTCCCGTTGGTAAACGTGTTGTTCTAATCCAACTGCTCACAGTGTACGCCTGCAGTTGACTCAAAATAAGCTTTCGTTCATATTTAACCGCCGATATTTCAGCGTAGCTATCCATCAGGTAAAACTTCCTTCCTCCCACGTTCTTCTCTCAAAACATTAGCGAAATTATTCGAACTTGCGACTCCGCGAAGGAAATTAATTAATGTGAACAGCAAATAGTTGTTTGGGAAAAATTGACCACACTCAATACTTCAAAGGACCATCGTAAGTTTTATACTAACGATATGAACTTAAGCCATGAAAACTTTATTCCGCTAATATTGCCCTCTTTCATTTGAACAGTAAGTAATTTGTCATCAGGCCAATAAAATTGCATGCGAGATGAAAATACGAGTTGTAGATGCGTTTATAGGCGTTCCAAAGAGTTAATCACTTTGCTTCCACGTCGCCCGCATGTTGAGGTGGGCATATGGAGATCATTGAGTTGGGGGGTGGAGTTAGTATATAAACAATTCCTGTAGGTCAAAATATAGTGTGAATTGCTGTCATTGGGTGGTTGAGATGGCGTGCAATCATCACCCGTTGTTAGTTTTACCCAGAGAATATGGATCTACCGCAACAAAACCTGCCAAATAAATAAATAAAGCTGGCTTCGTCAGCCGAATGGCCACTGTCTCAGCTTTTGTTATCATTCCTTGTCGTAGGCCTTAAGGGCAGTTTGCTGATGCCCAGTAGAAATCTTTTACATGTTCTTTGGCGTCCTTTTGGCGGCTCGTGCCACCTAGATTTGCGAACATCAAAATCCATCTATTTTAACCTTTACATAAACGGACAGGTATGTATTCGCGCACCCCTCTTTTCCAGACGACCAATTTATCCTGCTCCATATGAGTAGGTGATAGAATAAGTAAAATCGATGTGGTCTGCAAAGGTAGTCAGTCTTTTTCTCCCATAAAACTAAACATTTGACGGAAAATATACCGGCTCCTTTGTTTTTTTTT